GGACTTGGACCAGCTGCCTCCTTCTTCTAAACTTATTAGCTGGATGTATGGCTTTAATCCTAGATTGGTGTGAGCTCAGTCGCAGATATGCATGCTCTGTGAATCAATAACAAGTGGTTGATTGATTTTTAAAATTGCATCACTACAATGGATTATAGTTTGACTATTGATTTGTTATACATTGATATTGTACTTCCACTTTTTCATAATATGTACCAAAAATTGAGTTGGATGTCGTTTTTTTCTCGATAATATTTTGATCAATGTGCATTAATCTTTTCTTTCACAGTTTAATATGTTGATTAATGCGCATTAAGAATAAAATTAATTAAAACAATGAAGAGTAAGCCTAACAACAAGATGTGAATCATATATATATCCGTCTATAAATAATTGTGATTTTTTTAAAATAAATTTAGTGGCCGCAGGAGTGCAATAGGAAAAATCGATCTAATCAACTACTTGCTCTTGTTCTAACTTAAGAACAAACAATAAACATCATTGTTTTTATTTTTTTTAGTAACTTAACTATTTAGACTATTGGCATGATAGATATTTTAAGATTAGTCAATTCTTTAAACAAATAATTAAGCATCAATGTATATGTCATCTAGCACTTGGTGGCCCAATGACCACCCCTGCACGAACGTGCTTAGGACTATAAGAGTTTGGGATCAAATCCCAAGTCCCCTTTCCCCTTCCCGAAAAAAGAATTCCCTACTGTTCAAAAAAAAAAAAAAAATAAGCATCAATGTATATGTCTATTGCATGATGAAAGATGAAGTAACTAATATAAACAGGGAAAGCATAAAATTAATTAATCATGAATGGTTGGCCAAGAACTTAATGAGGTCTCGGAAAGCAGACTCATCGATCACAAGGGAGAATGATCTTGTTCCCGTTATGAAAACCAAACTCTTCCGCAGCCTTGAAAGATGGGGTTCTTCAAGTAAGGTGTAGGAACCACAAACCTTTGCATTTCAATCCCCAAATACACCACAAAATGCCCTCTCGGAGCTCTTCTTCTTTCATCAAGCTGCTCCACTTTCTTTGAAATATATAATAGTACTGTTGCTGACTAAAGTCTAAAAATAAGGCAAAAAAGAAAAGTTTTAATGGGTAGGGATATACATAGAGATAAAGGGAAGTATGGCGTACTAGGGTATTGAAGTGAGGAAAATGGACTTATCGACTCCTTTTGTACATGCAAAGTGCATTATATATATATTGGTTGTTTTATATATGGTTGGTTTACTCTATCTAGCTAGCAATAGCCGAAATGTATGTGCTGCATGTCGTGTGGGGATTGCTTTGGCACAAGGAGTCTGCGAAGCACTCTCTCTATAACCAGCCCCGCTACATATGTAGAAGCCAATCGACTAACGTAAGCTAGCTATCAATAATATGCATGATTGTGTTTGTCTTACGAACAATACCAAGAGGTTCATTCACAAGCCAATAATTGGTCTGACAGCTCAAGTGTTCTGCCTGGAACCACTGATGAAACGATGGAACCCCAAAATGACATACATTTCACATTCGACGTAGTATTTAGGAGTGCGTGTGCTTCCCATAACATGGAAAGATAGGGTTTTGAAAACTTTATAAAGAAAGGTAGATGGAGAATTGACCATTGTCTCGCTGGGTAGAATGTTGCATGCATTAAAGAACCTTAAGGTTGGGTCTGCTCCAAGCACATGGAGAGGGAACAGCACTCAATTTCTCCATTCTTTACCAACTGAAATGTGACATTTATGCATGACAAACGCATATGCCGTAATTAATATTAGTACTACCATTTCAGGACTTCATCATCAGTAGTCTCATCAACTATATTCATATATATTATTTGGTTGCAGCATGCATGCACGTCCATCCATTCTTTACCAACTGAAATGTAACATTTGTGCATGACAAACGCATATGCCATAATTAATATTAGTACTACCGTTTCCGGACTTCATCACCGTCAGTCTCCTCAACTATATAAATATATATTATTTGGTTGCAGCATGCATGCATGTCCATCCATTCTTTACCAACTGAAATGTAACATTTGTGCATGAGAAACGCATGTGCCTTAATTAATATTAGTTCTACCATTTCAGGACTTCATCACCATCAGTCTCCTCAACTATATCAATATATACTATTTGGTTGCAGCATGCATGTCCATCCCGTTCTTTCAATTGCCACAGCTAAATTCCCAGCCTTTATGGCAAATTTGGATATTCTTTACCTCCTCCCCCCCCCCCCCCCCCCCCCCCCCCAAAGTGGTTACAGACACATGTATAACAGTGTTTTTTGGGGATGTAAAATCACCTAACAGTGGTTTTTTTTTTTCCTAAACATGGAGAATTATGAGAGAAAAAAATTTTTTTAAATAGTTGGTGAGAATGAAACTCTTAACTAATTTAATCCAAATATTAAAGTTTAGAGACGAAACCATTAAGTTTGAAAGCTTGGTTCTACCTAACAGTGTTTTAATTCAGCATATAGTTAATTTCTTAATTATAATAAATTTATTATATTTTTAAATAATGTGGTAGGTGAAGAAGGGCTTTGTGCATCAGTTATTCAAAGTCTAAAAAGTACAAATATGTATTGTGCTGAGTTTTATGGGCTGGGCCTAGCGTATTGGGGTTGGTAGGCAAAACGCAAAAGAATCTAATATTGCTTTTCAACCAATTCGCAATTTCATATTTTGATTTTTCATAGGCTGGGCCTGTATGTTTTTTAGGCTTCAGGCTGGATCTGTATGCTGGACCATAACAGTTTCGACTAATTTAAAAAAGTTATTATAAGATAGATATCTCAAAAATAAGAGAACTTCTTAAATTTACAGGAGCCTTAGTTTTATGACTCTTTCAGAATTAAATATTGAAAATGAAGAAAATAAAAAATAAAAATTTATATTGAAATATCAGGGCATGTAATCTACAGATCTTAATATATTTTTTCTTTAACCATAAAACTATTTTTTTATTTAAAGAAAAAAGTTACTTTTTTGACCCAAAAAGAAAAAAAAAATTCAACATATTACATATAAAAACAAGTGTAGTGCAATCTGTATTAAATTGTATTATATTAACTATTAAATTAAATTAAATTCTTTAATATGAGAAATTTTTTAATTTAATAATTTATATTTTACAATTTAATATAATTCAGTTAATAAAATATACTTTTGTTTTTATGGTAGTTACATAATAAGAGTCAAACTTCTCTCATATTTTATCTTACTCTATTCATATGATATGCGATTTAAATTCAAAATCTTTTACTTTTAACAGAAAAATATTACTATTAAACTATTTAAATTTATTAAGAATTGATAAAATAATTCCTTTTAACTATATATGCCTTAAGCACAATGAGACAAACAAAAATGACCATGCTTCGAGCAGTCTGCGTATTTTCCTTTTTGGCTTTTTGAGCTGTGTGTAACTTGTGTGTGCATTCTTAAGACAAGGAGAAATGACACAAGAGGTAGACAGAAATAATAAAAAGAAAATTGCTGTCATTATTTTTTTTGGTCGAAATTTTCTGTCATCATATTAACTGGTCTCTCTCAGAGACAAAGATTGGAAGGAACCCATAGTATTTTCGTGGAATTTACATGGTTGTTTTTTCTCATGCCCAGGAGATCATACATACAGTTGTTCAAAAACCATTTATAGCATTTTAAAATTGTGTAAGGGTAGGTACGAGGTGCTCAACCTCGGACGTATGGCAGTAATTCTTTTACAACCGAAGTAAAGAATAAATCCAGAGTTTCCCGCTCGAACAGCAGCATAGCAGTTACGATGAACATCCTCTCATCAAATCTCGAATATCTTGCTTGGCTCAATCTTTGGGTTCCAAAATAACTGCTTGGAGATATGCATCAAATCCTGAAATAACTGCCTGGAGATACACATCAGATCCCGAATATTTTGCTTGGCATGCCACGTGGTTTCTTCATGGGAACATATAAATACCCCTCAAGGGTCATGCCAAAAGATAATTGGGACCAACCCTAAGTTCCTTGTTTTTCCACTCTAAAGGTAGTCTCAATTATTGCTGACTTAAACATCAGAGTGTCTACCCCGAGGATCCACCTCGGGGCTTTGCAGTTCTTCTGGTTTGTGCAGTTACAAATTGACTTCCTATGTATTGCGGATATGATGGGGCATGAATTCCCCAATACCCCCTAATGTACGGTCTTTGATGTTAATATCATCCCCTGTTTTACTCAAAAAAATTGACTTCCTAGCCAGAATATTGTATTTTGCCACAAAACAATCAAATTCAGATCATAGAAAACAAGAAAAATCTTTTCACTTTTTTTTTTTAATAAAAAATAAATATAATTATAATATTATGCAATATAATAAATTTAAAGATAAGTGCATATTAACCTTGACTTTAAAATATAATTAATTTATATTTATATTTAAAAATTAAAATCTCAACTTATTAAATATTAATATTTAAATTTAAAAACTCATTATATATTTT